TATTTTCCCCTTCCCCTTCAGTCTGGACTAGCCTTACAACTTTAACAATAATATGATGGAAGTGATACTCTGGTATTTCCAAGCCCACACTATAAAACGGCAGGCAGCTTCCACTTTCTCTTGGAAGCTAGATGCCATGCTCAAAGCGGGGGAGATTACCAAAGGATGAGAAGCTATGTGAGAGAGGCCATGGAGGTGAGGACATTTAGGAATTTCAGCCACAGCCAAGAACCCAACTAAATGCAGCCATGAGAGACCTCAACTTACAGTATGTAGAGCTGAACTCAGTCAACCCAAAGAACTGTGCATAATAATAAATTGCTGTTTTAAACCATTAGGTTTTGGAGCAGTTTGTTACATAGCAGTAGACACCTGAAACACTGAAGCTCAACTTTCCTAAATAATGCCAAACCTCTTTATAAAGTGGCTAATATTCCTCCCAGCAGCAATGTATGAGTGTGAGAATTCCCATAGCCCTACACCACCCCAACACTTCATGTCAGACATTTAAAATTTTTGCCAATCTGGCAGATATGAAAGGTATCTCATATGTTTTCAATTTGCATTTCCCGAATTACTAATAAGGTTGAATATACATTCATACATTAAGTCACTTATCTTCCCTCTGTGTAATTCCTACTGTTTTGCTAGTCATTCTACATGGTTAGCTTTTTTCCTGATTCATTAAAGTATATAAGTTGTATATATATTTCAAATATCTTCTCATCTGTGGCTAGCCTTTTCACTATCTTTATATTATCTTCTAATGAGCAGACTCTATTTTCAAGTAGCAGAATTCATGAATCTTTTCCTTCATAGCCCAATGCTTTGACGTTAAGAAATCCCTCTCTATGCACAACTGTATTAAGTTGTCTTTCAAAAGTTTAATTTATGTTTTAGTCTTTAATCTACCTGGAATTAATTTTTATGTATGAATGAGGTAGGAATTCAATTACATTTTTCCCCATAGGGATACCCAAATACCCCAGCCTGAAAAGCCCATCTTTCCTAAAGATCTTTAATGCTAGTTTTGTCATAGACTGACTCTCTACATAAACATATAAATCTGTTTCTAAGCTCTCTGTTCTGTTCCATTGGTCTACATGGGTGGAACTACCTTAATTATAACTTTATCAGTCTTGGCAACTGATAAGATAAATACTTCCAGTTTGTTGTTCTTCAAGAGTTTCTTGGCTATACTTGGGCCTTTTCTTTTCCACATATATTTTACAATCAGCTTACCTAATTGCACAAGCAAAATCAGTTGGGATTTTGATAGAAATTGTATTAAATCTTTAATTCAATTTGGGAAGAAATTGACATCTTAATGCAACGAGTGCTCCAACCCATGAACATGGTATTGCTATTGATTTCACATGATGGAAGCACAGAATGTTCATCTGTACTCACTGGTAATGTTAATTATGGATCTCCAATCTTGGTGTTACCAGATTTCTCCACTGTGTAACTACTAGTCTTCCCCTTGCAATAATAAATGCAAAGACACTTAAAGACCATTTTTATATTTTTATTATGGAATTTTTTTAAATAATAAAAATAGAGGAAATAGTAAACTCCCATTTAACAATTCAATAATTAGCAAAATTTTCAGTGATTATCAGAAAGCACATCTCAGACATATAATTTTCACCTATAAATGCTTCAGGACACATCTAACTTTTTACATAACAATATCATTATTACAACTAAGAAAATTAACACTAATTCCTCAATGTCATCTACCTCCTAGCCATACTCAGTTTTATAACTATCTTTATTACAGTTGCTTTAATCAAGCCAGGATCCTGTAAGGACCTCACATTGCACTTATTTGTTATATCTTATAAACCTTTCAATCTGTGAACACCTCCCCTTCCATTTTCTTTATATCATTTATTTGTTTAAGAATATAGATAATTTGTCCTATAGTATAGCTCATATTCTGGATTTTTAACTTTATTTTTATTGCTATTGTACTGTATTTCTTGCAGACTTTACTTGTGTGTAGAAATATAACTTTCCTCAGTGACTTTTGTATCCTGAAAATTTGTCAAACTCTTATTAAATCTAATAATTTAGTTACACATTATTTGGTTTTCTATGTAGATAATTACATCATCTGCAAATAATAACAGTGTTGTTTCA